CGCTGGAACACCTCAGCAAGTGAGAGTCCAAAAGTGGCAGGCTCAAACCCAGAACCTCAACCAATGGCTGATACCAAATGAGAGACTCCCCCCTGGGCACACAGAGGACTGGGTGACTTGGAAGGCGCTGAACAGACTGCGCTCTGGCACCACGAGATGCAGAGCCAACCTTCAAAAAATGGGCTACAAAGTTGAATCCACAACATGCGAGTGTGGAGAGGAGCAAACCACTGACCACCTGCTGCAATGCAACCTGAGCCCGCCACATGCACAATGGAGGACCTTCTTGCAGCAACACCAGAAGCACTCCAAGTGGCCAGATACTTGTCAAAGGACATTTAATCAACTACCAAACTCACACATGTTGTGTTTTGTCTGTTTGTTTGCTTTGTTCTATTAGAAATGTAATATAATTTGACTGGTTATCCTGACACAACAAATAAATAAATAGCCAATTGGTGACTCAATGAGGTAGAAGGTAGCTTAGAAGGACTATTATATTATATTGGCCCAAGCCAAGTCCATTTCCCAGAACGATTTGCAAAACAAAAGGACAGGAAGGAGATCATTGCAAAGGTCAAGGGGCCAGAGGCATATTGCAGAAGGGACCTCCAAAGGCCATCTGGACCAAGGCAGGCCAAGCCACGCACACTTGCCACTGAAAGCTTCCAAATGAGGCAGAATATATATTTCTATATTTCTCTCTAGACCAGTGTTTCTCAACCTTCCGAATGCCGCGACCCCTTAATACAGTTCCTCCTGTTGTGGTGATCCCCAACCATAACATTATTTTGGTTGTTGCTTCAGAATTGCCATTTTGCTACTGTTATGGATCGTCATGTAATCCAGGATAGATTTTCATTCACTGGACCAAATTTGGCACAAATTCCCAATACACCCACATTTGAATACTAGTGGGGTTGGGAGGGGGATTTATTTTGTCATTTGGGGGTTGTAGTTGCTGGTATTTACAGTTCACGTACAATCAAAGAGCATTCTGAACTCCACCAACAATGGAATGGAACCAAACGTGGCACACAGGACTCCCATGGAAACAGAAAACACTGGGTCTGGTAGGCATTGACCTTAAGTTTTGGAGTTGTAGTTTGCCTACATCCAGAGAGCACTGTGGACACAGACAATGAAGGATTTAGACCAAACTTGTCATGAATACTCCATATGCCCGAATATGAACACAGATGGAGTTTGGGGGGAAATAGACATTTGAGAGTTGTAGATGCTGGGATTTATAGTTCTCCTACAATCAAAGAACCCCACAAATGGTAGAATTGGGCCAAACTTCCCACACAGAGACACCCATGACCAACAGAAAATACTGTGTTTTCTGGTGGTCTTTGGTGAGCCTTATGACACCCCCTCGCAACCCCCCAGGGGTCCTGACCCCCAAGTTGAGAAATGCTGCCTTAAGGCTACCCAGTCCAACTCCCTTCACCAGGGCAAGAAAACATAAACAAAACCCTCCTGACAAAGAGCCATCTAACTGTATATGCCAAATGTGGTAGAGTTTGGGGGAAATAGACCTTGATATTTGGAAGTTGTACTTGCTGGGATTTATAGTTCGCCTACAATCAGAGCATTCAGAACCCCACCAATGATAGAATTGGGCTAAACTTTCCACACAGAACACCATGACTGTGTTTTCAGATGGTCTTTGGCGATCCCTCTGACACTCCCTTGCGACCTCCCCCATGGGAGAAATTTATTATCATCTTCATAATCCCTTCCCTTCGGGAAGGCAAGATTCCAGCGAGCTTAAAACAAGCTATAATAAAACCGCTGTTGAAGAAACCATCACTGGACCCCACTAAATTCGACAACTATCGGCCAGTTTCCAATCTCCCCTTCTTGGGCAAAGTCTTGGAACGTGTGGTGGCCTCACAACTCCAGGTATTCTTGGTAGACACGGATTATCTAGACCCGGCACAGTCTGGCTTTAGGCCGGGACATGGTACCGAGACAGCCTTGGTCGCCTTAGTGGATGATCTGCGCCGGGAGCTCGACAGGGGGAGTGTGTCCCTGTTGGTGCTGCTGGACCTCTCAGCGGCCTTCGATACCGTCGACCACGGTATCCTTCTGGGACGCCTCGCGGGGATGGGTCTTGGAGGTACTGTTTTGCAGTGGCTCCGGTCATTCCTGGAGGGTCGATCTCAGAAGGTGTTGTTGGGGGACACCTGTTCAACCCCACAACCTTTGTCTTGTGGGGTTTCTCAGGGCTCAATATTGTCTCCCATGTTGTTTAACATCTACATGAAGCCGCTGGGGGAGATCATCCGGAGTTTCGGGGTACGGTGTCATCTGTACGCGGATGATGTCCAACTCTGTCACTCCTTTCCACCTGCTACTAAGGAGGCTGTCCAGGTCCTGAACCGGTGCTTGGCCGCTGTGACGGTCTGGATGAGGGCGAACAAATTGAAATTGAATCCAGACAAGACAGAGGTACTCCTGGTCAGTCGCAAGGCCGAACAGGGCATAGGGTTACAGCCTGTGTTGGATGGGGCCGCACTCCCCCTGAAGACGCAGGTTTGCAGCTTGGGTGTGACCCTGGACTCATCGCTGAGCCTGGAACCCCAGGTTTCGGCGGTGACCAGGGGAGCATTTGCACAGCTAAAGCTTGTGCGCCAGCTGCGCCCGTACCTTGGGAAGTCTGACTTGGCCACGGTAGTTCACGCTCTGGTTACATCCCGTTTAGACTACTGCAACGCTCTCTACGTGGGGTTGCCTTTGAAGACAGCTCGGAAGCTCCAACTAGTCCAACGCTCGGCAGCCATGATTTTAACAGGAGCGGAGCGCAGGGAGCATACAACCCCCCTGTTGCGCCAACTCCACTGGCTACCGATCTGCTACCGGGCTGAATTCAAAGTGCTGGCGTTGGCTTTTAAAGCCCTAAACGGTTCCGGCCCAAGCTACCTATCTGACCGCATCTCTGCCTATGAACCCACCAGGACTTTGAGATCTTCCGGGGAGACCCTGCTCTCGATCCCGCCTGCTTCTCAAGCTCGGCTGGCGGGGACGAGAGATAGGGCCTTCTCAATGGTGGCTCCTCGGCTGTGGAACGCCCTTCCTACGGACATTAGACTAGCACCATCTCTAATGGTATTCCGCAAAAAGGTGAAGACCTGGATGTTTGTGCAGGCGTTTGAGTAATTTAGTGCAATCTGGTAATGGAACATAGGAATGGAACAATGGACGACGAACCTGGACTACGCTTGGATGATGAGAAGATTGGGTACGGTTGTTTTTGTAATAATTGTGCATTGTAATTGCTTATTGGTAATTTATGGATAATGTGTTAAGTCAATTGTTATATGTTGTATGGAACCACTGCTGTTTCTACTGTTTTTACTGTTTGTGAACCGCTGTGAGTCGCCTTCGGGCTTGAGATACAGCGGTATATAAGCAAAGTAAATAATAATAAATAAATAATAAATAATAATCATCATCATTATTATGAAAAGTCTGCACTTGGCAGGGATTGGAGAAAATTATTATTATTATTATTATTATTATTATTATTTTACTGACACAAAAGCACAGTATGTCACAGCAAACGAGATATATATGCTGGATTTCGTATCACAAAATCACAAGTCGAACACTTCCCAAGCGTCTAGGACTGTGTGATATATTTTTGAATGATGCGCGCAGATCCAAGTAAGGTGGCCTTTTGCAGTTGACAGATCATGATTTTGTTAATGTTTATTGTTTCCATGTCATACTCAGCACTTTTTAATCTGTACCCATTACATTTGGCCCGGCCCTAGTTTTATTGTGTTATGGTGTATTGTTTTTTATTGTTTTGTTATTGCTTTAATGTTTTGAGTTGCTTTAAGTTGTGTATTGTTGTATTGTTGTTTTATTGAGGCCTTGGCCTTTGTAAGCCGCATCGAGTCCTTCGGGAGATGCTAGCGGGGTACAAATAAAGTTAATAATAATAATAAATTATTATTATTATTATTATTATTGGGTTGTTGTAGGTTTTTCTGGGCTATATAGCCATTTTCTAGAGGCATTCTCTCCTGACATTTCGCCTGCATCTATGGCAAGCATCCTCAGAGGTAGTGAGGTCTGTTGGAACTAGGAAAAAGGGTTTATATATCTGTGGAATGACCAGGGTGGGACAAAGGACTCTTGTCTGCTGGAGCTAGGTGTGAATGTTTCAACTGACCACCTTGATTAGCATTTGATGACCAACGATTTTATTGTGATGACTTGGCCATTGTAATTATATGACTGTATTTTAGTATTTTAATGTGTTAGTGCATTATGGAATGTGATGTTTTTAAATGATTGTGATACTGTTGTTGGAAACCAGCCTGTGTCCCTCTACGGAGGTGAGAAGACAAAAGTTCTAAATAAATAAATAATAAATAAATAGATGGCTTGGCAGTGCCTGGGGCAATCTTTTGTTGAGAGGGGATTAGATGTCCCAGATTGTTTTCCCTCTGCTGTTTTGCTGTTTTAATTTTAGAGGTTTTTTTAATACTGGTAGCCAGATTTTGTTCATTTTCATGGTTTCCTCCTTTCTGTTGAAATTGTCCACATGCTTGTGGATTTCAATGGCTTCTCTGTGTAGTCTGACATGGTGGTTGTGAGAGTGGTCCAGCATTTCTGTTTTCTCAAATAAAATGCTGTGTCCAGGTAGGTTCATCAGATGCTCTGATGAACCAAATTATTATTATTATTATTATTATTATTTGTAGAAGCTTACCCTGCCAATGAGGTTGGCTCCTTTCCAGCCACAGATCCAGACTTTGACGGCAGGCCTTTTAAGCTAATTGCTTCTAATTATTATTAGCATTTGGGAAGGAAAGGTGTGAGACAGAGGGGAAAGAATAGAGGATTATCTCCCTATAGGATCAAATCCACAAAGACAGGGCCTGCCTCTCACATCTGCTCCGGATTGTAGCCTGAACTTCTCAGAGAGATGCCTCTGCTTTGCCTTTAGGAGCCTCTATCAAATATAATTATTTATAATACAATTTAAGACAATTTAATAGAGTATAATTTAATAAACGATAATCTCATTGAGACCATTGAAAACAAATGCAAAATGATAACAATATTTGTGTGCAATGAAATGAACTGGCTTGGAGGTGGGACCCGAGTTGAAGCCTTCATCCACAGGGAAAGCCCTTGCTGCCAATGAAAGGCGCCTTCACAAATGAATCCATTCATTGACCTCGATGTGGGGCTCCGTGGATAAAGACAGAAGAGTTGCAAAGTCTGTTTCACTTCAATGCATCCTGCTTCCTTCTCTCCATTCAGTCCAATGTCCCTGAAACCAGGCAAAAGGAAGCAGATTGAGGAACCTCTCATGGAGTATTATTATTATCTATATATATATAAATGCTCTGCGCATAATGAGTTCCTTAAAAACAAAAGAACCAATGAACGAAATCACACCAAATTTGGCAGCAAAACATCTTACAACACAAGGAGTGACCATCACTCAAAAAATTATGATTTTGTCATTTGGGAGTTGTAGTTTCTGGGATTTATAGTTCACCTACAATCAAAGAGCATTCTGAACTCCATCAACAATGGAATTGAACCAAACTTGGCACACAGAACTCCCTTGACCAACAGAAAATACTGGAAGGGTTTGGTGGGCATTGACCTTGAGTTTGAGAGTTGTAGTTCACCTACATCCAGAGAGCACTGAGGACTCAAACAATGATGGATCTGGACCAAACTTGGCACGAATATTTCATATGCCCAAATATGAACACAGATGGTGTTTGGGGGAAATAGACCTTGGCATTTGGGGTTGTAGTTACTGGGATTTATAGTTCACCTACAATCAAAGAGCGTTCTGAACCCCACCAACGACATAATTGGGGCAAACTTCCCACACAGAACCCCCATGACCAACAGAAAATACTTAAGGCCATCCAGTCCAACTCTCTTCACGAGAGCAAGAAAATGTAATCAGAGCCCTCCAGACAAAGAGCCACCCAGCCATACATATAGATAGATATGATTCACAAACACACAGATATAGTATCATAGATTTGAAAGGGACCCCTGAAGAAGGACAATGATATGTGGCATGTTCCAGAGTAGGCAAACCAGTCTGCACATCAACACTTACAAAGAAACAGCAAGAAATACTGTTTACCTACAAGCATAAAGAAATTACATACATTAGAAACCAACACTTTCTCATTACATTATTTTCTAGATCAACAGACTGGGCCACAGCAACGCGTGGCAGGGGACAGCTAGTCATTATTATTATTGTATATTATGATCTAAAATGGTTATACAAGAAGATGAAAGATGTGGCAGAGAGAGAGGATGTTGTCCAAACTATATAATACATACTAGCCGTCCCCTGCCACGCGTTGCTGTGGCCCACATGGGGGTTCTGTGTGGGAGGTTTGGCCCAATTCTACAGTTGGTGGGGTTCAGAATGCTCTGTGATTGTAAAGGTAAAGGTTTTCCCCTGACATTAAGTCCAGTCATGTCTGACTCTGGGGTGTGGTGCTCATCTCCATTTCTAAGCCGAAGAGCCAGCGTTGTCCGTAGACACCTCAAAGGTCATGTGGCCAGCATGACTGCATGGAGCGCTGTTACCTTCCCGCCGGAGCAGTACCTATTGATCTACTCACATTTGCATGTTTTCGAACTGCTAGGTTGGCAGAAGCTAGGGTTGACAGCGGAAGCTCACGCCGCTCCCCGGAATCGAACCTGCGACCTTTCGATCAACAAGCTCAGCAGCTCAGTGCTTTAACCCACTGCGACACGGGGGCTCCTTGTAGGTGAACTATAAATCCCAACAACTACAACTCCCAAATGTCAAGATTCTATTTTCCCCAAACTCCACCAATGTTCACATTCGGGCATACTGAGTATTCGTGTAGAGTTTGGTCCAGATCCATCATTGTTTGAGTCCACGGTGATCTCTGGATGTAGCTGAACTACAACTCCAAAACCAAAGGACCTTGCCCACCAAACCCTTCCAGTATTTTCTGTTGGTCATGGGAGAACTGTGCGCCAAGTTTGGTTCAATTCCATCGTTGGTGGGGTTCAGAATGCTCTTTTATTGTAGGTGAACTATAAATCCCAGCAACTACAACTCCCAAACGACAAAATCAATTTTTTTGAGTGAAGGACATACATTGGGTTGTCAGGTGTCTTGTGTCCAAATTTTAACATAGTAATTTTCAAACTCTCATAGCCACATTTCGTTCCTTTTATGTAGATACCACTGAGCTAAAAAAATTGTATCTCCTGAGGAGAACAAACTCTCAAGTGTATAATTTTGTAAGTATTCAAATGTGTTGTAACTTATGGAATTTAATGGATATGTTCAACAAATATTGATGTAATAACAAGTGTGAAGACTTTACTAATTTCGTAATGTGTAAAATACTTGAATATTAAGTATTTCTACAATATAATCATTTTCAACATAGTAATTTTCAAACTCTCATAGCCACATTTCGTTCCTTTGATGTAGATACCACTGATTCAAAAATATCTGGATCCCCCGAGGAGAATTTGTTCAAGTGTATACCAATTCTTTGCTGTTGGCAGGTAGTACTTGTGACATTTATTTATCGTGTCATCCGCAACCAGAACATTGTATTACATTTCTAACAGAACAAAACAAACAGACAGATAAAAAAAACACACACAAATTTTGCAAACTTGGTAGCTGATTAAATGTCCTTTGACCAGTATCTGGCCACTTGGAGTGCCTCTGGTGTTGCCGCAAGGAGGTCCTCCATTGTGCATGGGGCAGGGCTCAGGTTGCATTGCAGCAGGTGGTCTGTGGTTTGCTCTTCTCCACACTCGCATGTCGTGGATTCCACTTTGTAGCCCCATTTCTTAAGGTTGGCTCTGCATCTCGTGGTGCCAGAGCGCAGTCTGTTCAGTGCCTTCCAAGTCGCCCAGTCTTCTGTGTGCCCAGGGGGGAGTCTCTCATTTGGTATCATCAAGTTTGCAGACGACACCAAATTGGGAGGGAGAGCCAATACTCCAGAGGACAGGAGCAGAATTCAAAACGATCTTGACAGATTAGAGAGATGGGCCAAAACTAACAAAATGAAGTTCAACAGTGACAAATGCAAGATACTCGACTTTGGCAGAAAAAATGAAATGCAAAGATACAGAATGGGTGACGCCTGGCTCGAGAGCAGTACGTGTGAAAAAGATCTTGGAGTCCTCGTGGACAACAAGTTAAACATGAGCCAACAATGTGATGTGGCATCAAAAAAAGCCAATGGGATTTTGGCCTGCATCAATAGGAGCATAGTGTCTAGATCTAGGGAAGTAATGCTACCCCTCTATTCTGCTTGGTTAGACCACACCTGGAATATTGTGTCCAATTCTGGGCAACACAATTGAAGAGAGATATTGACAAGCTGGAATGTGTCCAGAGGAGGGTGACTAAAATGATCAAGGGTCTGGAGAACAAGCCCTATGAGGAGTGGCTTAAGGAGCTGGGCATGTTTAGCCTGAAGAAGAGAAGGCTGAGAGGAGATATGATAGCCATGTATAAATATGTGAGAGGAAGCCACAGGGAGGAGGAGGGAGCAAGCTTGTTTTCTGCTTCCTTGGAGACTAGGACGCGGAACAATGGCTTCAAACTACAAGAGAGGGGATTCCATCTGAACATGAGGAAGAACTTCCTGACTGTGAGAGCCGTTCAGCAGTGGAACTCTCTGCCCCGGAGTGTGGTGGAGGCTTCTTCTTTGGAAGCTTTTAAACAGAGGCTGGATGGCCATCTGTCAGGGGTGATTTGAATGCAATATTCCTGCTTCTTGGCAGAGGGGTTGGACTGGATGGCCCAAGAGGTCTCTTCCAACTCTTTGATTCTATGATTCTATGATCACCCACGGATTGAGGTGCTGGATTTGAGCCTGCCACTTTTGAACTTTCGCTTGCTGAGGTGTTCCAGTGAGTGTCTCTGTAGATCTAAGAAAACTATTTCTTGATTTGAGTCGTTGACGTGCTGGCTGATACCCAAACAAGGGATGAGCTGGAGATGTCTCTGCCTTGGTCCTTTCACTATTGGCTGCAACTTCCCGGCGGATGTCGGGTGGAGAGAAGAAATACAGGAGACAAGAGGGAACGGAATTCCCTCAACTTACACTAAACTAGCTAGCTGCTCCTCATTGAGGACTTGAGACTTGAATTTCAACATAAACAACCTGGTTCTCATTTCTGGGAACTATTGGCTGCTACTTCCCGGCGGATGTCAGGTGTTGCAATACCGGCTAAGCAGTGTAATTTCTCCAGTGGTGTAGGGCGCAGACACCCCATGATAATGTGGCATGTCTCATTCAGAGCCACATCCACTTTTTAGCGTGGTGAGATGTGTTCCACACTGGGCATGCATACTCAGCAGCAGAGTAGCACAGCGCAAGGGCAGATGTCTTCACTGTGTCTGGTTGTGATCCCCAGGTTGTGCCAGTCAGCTTTCGTATGATATTGTTTCTAGCACCCACTTTTTGCTTGATGTTCAGGCAGTGCTTCTTGTAGGTAAGAGCACAGTTCAGAGTGACTCCCAGGTATTTGGGTGCACTGCAATGCTCCAGTGGGATTCCTTCCCAGGTGATCCTCAGAGCTCGGGATGCTTGTCTGTTCTTGAGATGAAAGGCACATGTCTGTGTTTTAGATGGATTAGGGATCAGTTGTAACTTATGATATTTAATGATACAGATGTTCTATATGTATGCTACTGGAGTAAAACATTGATTTGTACATTAATTTCAGTCCACCAGAGGAAGGCCTGAGGTAGGCCGAAACCGGTCGTGGACGGCTGATCCACAAGCTACTTATAAGAAGATACGACTGTACTAAAAATTTGCACCATATTTGTATGCATTTCATTCAGGAACCCATTTATATTATAGTATAATAATAATAATAGTAATAGTAATAATAATAATAATAATAATAATAATAATAATAATAATCTTTATTTATACCCCGCCACCATCTCCCCAAGGGACTCGGAGCGGCTTACATGAGGCCAACCCAATAACATCAATAAAACAAAGCAATAAACAAAAACAATAAATACAATACAATTAATATAAATCACATATAAACAATAACCAATAAACAGTAACACACAAGGATTTAAAAACCTGTGGCCGGGCCAAATGTAATAGTTTAAAATGAACAAGGTAGGATATATCTGGTATAGGGTTTTAAAAGAGATGAGGGAGCGCAGTCAATCCTAAACCAGTAGTAAAGTGCATTCTGAGGACATATTGCTGGGAATTTTCCTTATTCTGGGAAGGCACACTGGAACAGCCATGTTTTCAGGCTCCTCCTAAAGACTGCCAATGTTGGGGCATGCCTGATGTCCTTGGGAGTGAATTCCAGAGTCGAGGGGCCACCACTGAGAAGGCCCTCTCCCTCGTCCCCACCAATCACGCCTGCGAAGGAGGTGGGAGCGTGAGCAGGGCCTCTCCAGATGAGATTGTGTGGGTTCGTACACAGAAATGTGGTCACGCAGGTAGGCAGGTCCCAAACCGTTCAGGGCTTTGTAGGTAAGAACCTGCACCTTGAATTGGGACCGGAAAATAAACGGCAGCCAGTGGAGCTACTTAAACAGGAGGGTTGACCGCTCCCTGTAAGTCGCACCAGTTAGTAACCTGGCTGCTGCCCACAGTACCATCGAGCCAGGCATCGTCTCCCATTCTGCCTCTTTGCATTTCCTTTTTTTCTGCCTAAGTGGAGTCACTTGCATTTAAATATTATTGTATTTATTAATTTATTATCATAGTTAATCTATTCTAAAATGTCCAAACTATCTGATACATTTCTATCTATATAAATAAAAATGTAATGTTAGTTCGTGCTACCATCAGAACTCAAAAACCCACTGGGGGAATTGACACCAAATTTGGACACATTTGTGTCCAATTTATGTCCTCCACTAAAAAAAAATTGATTTTGTCATTTGGGAATTGTTGTTGCTGGGATTTATAGTTTACCTACAATCAAAGAGCATTCTGAACTCCACCAATGATGGAATTGGGCCAAACTTGGCACACAGGGCTCCCATGACCAACAGAAAAAAACTGGAAGGGTTTGGTGGACATTGACCTTGAGTTTGGAAATTATAGTTCACCCACATCCAGAGAGCACTGTGGACTCAAACAATGATGGAGATGGACTAAACTTGGCACGAATATTCCATATGCCCAAATATGAAAACAGATGGAAGTTTGGGGAAAATAGACCTTGACATTTGGGAGTTGTGGTTACTGGGATTTATAGTTCACCTACAATCAAAGAGCATTTTGAACTCCATCAATGTTGGAATTAACCAAACTTGGCATACAGACTCCATGACCAACAGAAAATACTGGAAGAGTTTGGTGGGCATTGATCTTGAGTTTGGGAGTTGTAGTTCACCTACATCCAGAGAGCACTGTGGACTCAAACAATGATGGATCTGGACCAAACTTGACACAAAATTCCATATGCCTAAATATGAACACAGATGGAGTTTGGAGGAAATAGACCTTGACATTTGGGATTGTAGTTACTGGAATTTATAGTTCACTACAATTAAAGAGCATTCTGAAACCCACAAACGACAGAAATGGGGCAAACTTCCCACACAGAACCCCCATGACCAACAGAAAATACTTAAGGCCATCCAGTCCAACTCTTCATCAGGGCAAGAAAATGTAATCAGAGCCCTCCTGACAAAGAGCCATCCAGTCATAAATATAGATAGATAGATAGATAGATAGATAGATATGATTCTCACTCACACACACAGATATAGTATCATAGATTTGAAAGAGACCCTTAAAGAAGGACAATGATATGTTGCATGTTCCAGAGTAGGCAAACCAGACACTCTCCACATCAACACTGACAAAGAAACAACAAGAAATACTGTTTACCCACAAGCATAAAGGAATTACATATATTAGAAACCAACATTTTCTCATTACTTTATTTTCCAGATCACCAGACTGGGCCACAGCAACGCGTGGCAGGGGACAGCTAGTATATAATATAATATATTATTATAATCTAAAATAGACAAGACCAGAAGGTGAATAATGTGGCAGAGAAATAAACTGTCCAAACTATGTAATACATTTATGATCATCATAATCTAGACAATAGTATTAATTATGTGTTGTCGAAGGCTTTCGTGGCCAGAATCACTGGTTTGCTGTGAGTTTTCCAGGCTGTATGGCCCTGTTCAAGAAGCATTCTCTCCTGACGTTTTGCCCACATCCATGGCAGGCACCCTCAGAGGTTGTTGGCAACTAGGAAAATGTGCTTGATATATCTGTGGAAAAATGTACAGAGTGGGAGGCAAGAAAACAGGGGAATTCCAGACAGGAAACAATCAGGTCTAGCTATCACCTCCCAACCAAGGATTCCCCAGGCAGGAAGCAGCCAGACTATTATTATTATTATTATTATTATTATTATTATTATTATTATTATTAACTTTATTTGTACCCCACTAGCATCTCCCGAAGGACTCGATGCGGCTTACAACGGCCAAGGCCTCAAAACATAACATAACAAATACACAACCCAAAGCAAATCAAAAACAATTAAAGCAATATCAAAACAACAGAACAATAAAACAATACACCAAACACAATAAAACTGGGCCAGGCCAAATGTAATGGGTACAAATTAAAAGTCCTGATGTGACAGGTGGTATGTCGGATTTTAGGGTAAGTGCAGTGTGCAAGCAATCTTAAACTCTATTAAAGTGCTTCTGGGACAGGTTGTTGGAGTTTTCCTATTCTGGAAAGGCACATCGGAACAGCCAGGTCTTCAAGTTCTTCCTAAAGACTGCCAATGTAGGGGCCTGTCTAATATCTTTAGGGAGGGAGTTCCAGAGTCAGGGGGCCACCACAGAAAAGACCCTGTCTCGCGTCCCCACCAGACGCGCCTGCGACGCAGGGGGAATCACGAGCAGGTCCTCTCCAGATGAGTGAAGAGAACGCATGGGTTCATAAACGGAGATGCGGTCACGCAGGTAGGATGGTCCCAAACCGTTCAGGGCTTTGTAGGTAAGCACCTGCACCTTAAATTGGGCTCGAAAGATAAACGGCAGCCAGTGGAGCTCCTTGAACAGGAGGGTTGACCTCTCTCTGTAAGGAGCGCCAGTTAACATCCTGGCCGTTGCTCGTTGGACCAGTTGAAATTTCCGAGCCGTTTTCAAGGGCAGCCCCATGTAGAGCGCATTACAGTAGTCCAATCTAGAGGTGACTAAGGCATGGACCACCCCAGCCAGATCAGCCTTTGTGAGGTACAGTCACAGCTGGCGCACGAGTCTCAATTGCGCAAAAGCCCTCCCGGACACCGCCGATGCCTGAGCCTCAAGCGAAAGCGATGAATCCAAGAGGACTCCCAAACTGTGGACCTGTGGCTTCAGGGGGAGTGTAACCCCGTCCAACACAGGTTGCCACCCTATACCCTGATCCGGTTTACGATCGACCAGGAGGACCTCTGTCTTGTCGGGATTGATCTTCAGCTTGTTCATCCTCATCCAGATAGACACAGCGGCCAGGCCCTCGTCCAGCACCCGAGAGGCCTCCTTGGAGTTGGGTGGAAATGAGTAGTAGAGTTGTGTGTCATCTGCGTAGAGATGGCACCTAACTCCAAAATTCCGGATGACCTCTCCCAGCGATTTCATGTAGATGTTAAACAGCATGGGAGACAGAATAGAGCCTTGCGGGACCCCACAGGTCAAAGGCCAGGGGTCCAAGCAGGCGTCTCCCAGCTTCACCATCTGGGATCGACCCTCCAGGAAGGATCGGAGCCACGACAAAACCGTGCCCCCGAGACCCATCCCAGAGAGTCGACCCAGAAGGATACCATGATTGATGGTATCGAAAGCCGCTGAGATGTCCAAGAGAACCAACAGAGTCACACTCCCCCTGAAGCTGCAAGGCCATTCAATGCTAATCAAGGTGGCCAATTGCAACATTCACACTTGCCTCACACAGACAAGGGTTCTTTCTCCCACCCTGGATATCATTCCACAAGTATATATATATATATAAACCCAACTTGCCCAGTTTCCAACAGACCTCACAACCTCTGAGGAAATGACAGGAGAGAATGCTGCTGGAACATGGCCAGGCAGCCCAGAAAACTCACAGAAACCCAGTATTGACTCCAATGGGCCGCTTACCTTCCAGGAAGGCAAATTCGTCCACGGCTTCAATGGCGTTGTCTGCAGGTGAGGCATAAAACAAAAATGGAATTAATAAGGAGGTATTATTATTATTATTTCTGTATTATTTTTATTTCTGTATTATTTCTCACCCAAGTCCTTCCTCTGGAGGGTCTTCCTCTTGCCTTGCTGGGCAAAGATGAAGGCGTCCTTGGCAATGGTCTCCACAAACAGCTCCTGCAATATATATATAGATAGAGATTGTTATTATATAATATTTGTATTATATTATTTATTATAGCATCATAATACATTGTATTATTATCTATGTATAAAAAATGCTCTATTCGTTTTGAGTGACATCCTAACTCAAAATCCGCAATTATGCTGCCAAATTTGGCCACTAGACACCTACTAACGCAAGGAGTTATCATCACTGAAAAAATTGATTTTGTCATTTGGGAGTTGTTGTTGGGATTTATAGTTCACCTACAATCAAAGCGCATTCTGAACTCCACCAATGATGGAACTGAAGGGTTTGGTGGACACTGACCTTGAGTTTGGGAGTTGTAGTTTACCTACATCCAGAGAGCACTGCGGACTCAAACAATGAAGGATTTAAGGTATTGTCGAAGGCTTTCATGGCTGGAATCACTAGGTTCTTGTAGGTTTTTTCGGGCTATAGGCCATGTTCTAGAGGCATTTCTCCTGACGTTTCGCCTGCATCTATGGCAAGCATCCTCAGAGGTAGTGAGGTCTGTTGGAAATAGGAAAATGGGTTTATATATCTGTGGAATGACTGGGGTGGGGCAAAGAGCTCTTCCCTGCTGGAGCTAGGTGTGAATGTTTCAGCTGACCACCTTCATTAGCATTTGAAAGCCTGGCTGAGCCTGGGAAAATGTTCTGTTGAGAGGTGTTAAGATGTGCCTGGTTGTTTCCTCTCTGCTGTTTTGCTGTTGTAATTTTAGAGTTTTTTAATACTGGTAGCCAGATTTTGTTCATTTTCATGGTCTCCTCCTTTCTGTTGAAATTGTCCACATGCTTGTGGATTTCAATGGCTTCTCCCAAACTTGTCATGAATACTCCATATGCCCGAATATGAACACAGACAGAGTTTGGGGGAAATAGACATTTGAGAGTTGTAGATGCTGGGATTTATAGTTCTCCTACAATCAAAGAACCCCACAAATGGTAGAATTGGGCCAAACTTCCCACACAGAGACACCCATGACCAACAAAAATACTGTGTTTTCTGGTGGTCTTTGGTGAGCCTTATGACACCCCCTATTTAATAGAATACCAAGCTTGAAAACTTTGTGTTCTGTTTGTTTGTTTGTTAAACTGCTCCTGACACGATAAATAAATAACCCAGTGATTCCGGCCATGAAAGCCTTCGACAATACAATAACCATACAATAGTAGAGCACCTGATGAACCAACTTGGACACAGTATATTATTTGAGAACACAGAAATGCTGGACCAAACCAACAACCACCATGTCAGACTACACAGAGAAGCCATTGAAATCCACAAGCATGTGGACAATTTCAACAGAAAGGAAGAGACCATGAAAATGAACAAAATCTGGCTACCAGTATTAAAAAACTCTAAAATTACAACAGCAAAACAGCAGAGAGGAAACAACCAGGCACATCTTAACACCTTATTTACTGCGCTTATATACCGCAATTCTCAGCCCAAGGGCGACTCATTGCGGTGTACAACATGGAAAAACAAGAGCAAATTACAAAACATAGTGTAAAATAATCCACAATTCATCATTATCAGAAAAACATCTTATCAAAAACATCAACATTACTACAAAAGCCATTCCATGTCATCTCATCGTCAAACCCACAATCCAATATCATTTCCGTTGTTCCATTCCTATGGTCAAATTATCAGTCATTGCACTTCTTGTTCAAATGCCTTCTTAAACAGCCAGGTCTTTAACTTCCTGCGGAATATCAACAGGGAGGGAGCTAGCCTGATGTCTACGGGAAGGGTGTTCCACAGCCGAGGAGCCACCACCGAGAAGGCCCTATCTCTCGTCCCCGCCAGCCGTGCCTGTGACGCAGGCGGGATCGAGAGCAGGGCCTCCCCGGAAGATCTCAAAGTCCTCGTGGGCTCATAGGCCGAGAGGCGGTCAGTTAGGTATTTTGGGCCGGAACCGTTTAGGGCTTTATAGGCCAATGCCAGCACCTTGAATTGAGCCTAGTAGCAGATCGGCAGCCAGTGGAGCTGGTACAGCAAGGGGGTTGTATGCTCCCTGCGTCCCGCTCCTGTTAGTATCATGGCTGCCGCACGTTGGACCAGTTGGAGCTTCCGGGCCGTCTTCAAAGGCAACCCCACGTAGAGAGCGTTGCAGTAGTCTAAACGGGATGTAACCAGAGCGTGGACTACCGTGGCCAAGTCAGACTTCCCACCTCTCAACAAAAGATTCCCCCAGGCTCAGTCAGGCCTTCAAATGCTAATGAAGGTGGTCAGTTGAAACATTCACACCTAGCTCCAGCAGAGAAGAGCTCTGTGCCCCACCCCAGCCATTCCACAGATATATAAACCCATTTTCCTAATTCCAACAGACCTCACTACCTCTGAGGATGCTTGCCATAGATGCAGGCGAAACGTCAGGAGAAAATGCCTCTAGAACATGGCCATATAGCCCGAAAAAACCTACAAGAACCTAGTGATTCCAGCCATGAAAGCCTTCGACAATACAGTGAAAACTTTCCCAAACTTTTCAAGGAAAGCACGTGCGCCCCCTGCTGGTGAAACAGCGCCACCCTTCTCTTCAGCCACGCCCCCTGCACCCTGGTATTGGCCACGCCCACGGCAGCGAGATTGGCCAGCATTAAAAAGCGCGCGCGGGTAGCCACGCCCACACGCAGTCTCCGCCTACCGGGAGCAAACGGACGCTCTGATTGGCCAGACGATTGCGCCCTTCCACCCCTCGCATGCGCAGTCTCAGTCTCACCGTAGCGCGGGCCAAGATGAAGACGGCTTCTTGGCTGGCGAGGCTGACATCCGGGTCGGCTTTGACCAGCGCTTTCACCCGGGACAAAGGCAAGCGAGCCGGGCGGGCCGTTGCGGTAGTGGGTGGCGCCTCCGGTTCTTCGCTGGGAAGCGCCGCCGCGGCATTTACCTCAGGAACCGCCGCCGCCATGTTGGCCGCTACTGCGCCTGCGCCGCGCGGTACGCAAATCAAGGCCTCAGGCCCCGCCTTCATGCCGCGGGAAGCCACGCCCCCTCTGCCCGGCTTTTACTGGCCCTTCCCGCCAAAGCTCTCTAGGGGGAGTCAGAGAGCTCTAGGGAAGAAAAAGATCACAATAATAATTATATACCCTAACATAGAATATTAATATAATAATAAATATAATAATATAATATATATATATGCATAACACCATATAATATTAATATAATAAATATATAGTAAATATAATTACTTTATCGTTTATCATAGAATCAAAGAGTTGGAAGAGACCTCTTGGGCCATCCAGTCCAACCCCATTCTGCCAAGAAGCAGGAATATTGCATTCAAATCACCCCTGACAGATGGCCATCCAGCCTCTGTTTAAAAGCTTCCAAAGAAGGAGCCTCCACCACACTCTGGGGAAGAGAGTTCCACTGCTGAACGGCTCTCACAGTCAGGAAGTTCTTCCTCATGTTCAGATGGAATCTCCTCTCTTGTAGTTTGAAGCCATTGTTCCGCGTCCTAGTCTCAGGGAAGCAGAAAACAAGCTTGCTCCCTCCTCCCTGTGGCTTCCTCTCACATATTTATACATGGCTATCATATCCCCTCTCAGCCTTCTCTTCTTCAGGCTAAACATGCCCAGCTCCTTAAGCCGCTCCTCATAGGGCTTGTTCTCCAGACCCTTGATCATTTTAGTCGCCCTCCTCTGGACACATTCCAGCTTGTCAATATCTCTCTTGAACTGTGGTGCCCAGAATTGGACACAATATTCCAGGTGTGGTCTAACCAAAGCGGAATAGAGGGGTAGCATGACTTCCCTAGATCTAGACACTATGCTCCTATTGATGCAGGCCAAAATCCCATTGGCTTTTTTGCCGCCACATCACATTGTTGGCTCATGTTTAACTTGTTGTCCACGGGGACTCCAAGATCTTTTTACACGTACTGCTCTCAAGCCAGGCATTGTCCCCCCATTCTGTATCTTTGCATTTCGTTTTTCCTGCCAAAGTGGAGTATCTTGCATTTGTCACTGTTGAACTTCATTTTGTTAGTTTTGGCCCATCTCTCTAATCTGTCAAGAATAATTATATACCCTAACATAGAATATTAATATAATAATAAATAATATAATATAATATATGTATAACACCGTATAATATTAATATAATAAATATATAGTAAATATAATTACTTTATCGGCTGATATAGGCGGTATACAAGAGAAGGTAAAACAAAACTTTAGGTATTTTATTTATCGTGTCACTATCAACCAGATAATTGTATTACATTTTTAACAAATTTTAACAAACAGACAAAACAGAGTTTGCAAGCTTGGTAGTTGATTAAATGTCCTTTGACCAGTATCTGACCAGAGTGCCTCTGTTGTTGCTGCAAGGAGGTCCTCCATTGTGCATGTTGCATTGGAGCCGGTGGCCAGTGGTTTGCTCTTCTCCACACTCGCATGTTGTGGATTCCACGTTGTAGCCCCATTTCTTGAGGTTGGCTCTGCATCTAGTGGTGCCAGAGCGCAGTTTGTTCAGCACCTTCCAAGTCGCCCACTCTTCTGTGTGCCCAGGGGGGAGTCTCTCATTTGGTATCAGCCATTGATTGAGGTTCTGGGTTTGAGCCTGCCACTTTTGGACTCTCGCTTGCTGAAGTGTTCCAGCGAGTGTCTCTGTAGATCTTAGAAAACTATTTCTTGATTTAAGTCGTTGACGTGCTGGCTGATACCCAAACAGGGGATGAGCTGGAGATGTCTCTGCCTTGGTCCTTTCACTATTGGCTGCTACTTCCCGGCGGATGTCAGGTGGGGCAATACCGGCTAAACAGTGTAATTTCTCCAGTGGTGTAGGGCGCAGACACCCCGTGATAATGCGGCATGTCTCATTAAGAGCCACATCCACTGTTTTAGTGTGGTGAGATGTGTTCCACACTGGGCATGCATACTCAGCAGCAGAGTAGCATAGCGCAAGAACAGATGTCTTCACTGTATCTGGTTGTGATTCCCAGGTTGTGCCAGTCAGCTTTCGTATGATATTGTTTCTAGCATCCACTTTTTGCTTGATGTTCAGGCAGTGCTTCTTGTAGGTCAGAGCACGGCCAGAGTGACTCCCAGGTATTTGGGTGCGCTGCAATGCTCCAGTGGGACTTCCCAGGTGATCCTCAGAGCTTGGGATGCTTGTCTGTCTTGAGATGAAAAGCACATGTCTGTGTTTTAGATGGGTTAGGGATCAGCTGGTTTTCCCTGTAATAGGCAGTAAGGGCACCTAGAGCTTCGGAGAGCTTCTGTTCAACCATCTCAAAGCTCCCTGCTTGAGCAGTAATGGCACGATCATCAGCATAGATGAAGCTCTCTGTCCCTTCTGGCAGTGGCTGGTCATTTGTGTAGATGTTGAACATGGATGGAGCGAGCACGCTCCCCTGAGGCAGGCCGTTCTTCTGTTTCCGCCATCTGCTTCTCTGGCCCTGGAACTCAACAAAAAAGCTCCTGTTTTGTAGCAGGTTTCCTATGAGGCGGGTGAGGTGGTAGTCCTTTGTGATATTATACATTTTTCTCAGGAGGAGGCGGTGGTTCACAGTATCATAGGCTGCTGACAAGGCTATGAAGACAGCTCCTGTGATCTGCTGCCTTTCAAAGTAATATATTAATATAACACCATAGAATATTAATTAATAAATATAGTAATATAATAATATAATGATATAACATAGAAGATGGAGAGACATAGAGCTCTTGGGATGAAGATAATAATAGTGATATAATAATATAGAATTATTAATATAACAAAATTAATAACTATAGTAATATAATAATAATATAATGACATAGAATAGGGGGAGACAGAGATGTATAGAGAAAAATATAACAATGATAATATAGTAACATAGTATAGGTAAAGGTAAAGGTTTCCCCTGACATTAAGACTAGTCATATCCAACTCTGAGGGGGTGATGCTCATACTGTAATATAACAACACAAAATATTAATATAATGGTATAATAATACATATAGTAATATAATAACAATGAAATAATACAATATAATGCTCCCTAATATTATTCAGTGCATCCCTCCCTCTATTATTATTATTATTATTATTATTATTATTATTATTATATAAAGTGCATCTCTCCCTATTATTATTATGCAGAGTGCATCCTTTCCTCTTTATTATTATTATTCTGTGCAACCCCCTCTTTATTATTATTATTATTATTATTGTTGTTGTTGTTATTCAGAGTGCATCCTTCCCTCATTATTATCATTATTATTATTATGCAGAGTGCATCTGTCATTATTATTATTTAATCCATCCTCCCTTCTTTATTATTATTATTAGTATTATTATTATTATTATGCAAAGTGCATTCAGTCCAACCCCATTCTGCTAAGAAGCAGGAAAATCACATTCAAAGCTCCCCCCCCCCCCCCCCCACATAGATGGCCACCCAGCATCTGCTTCAAAGTCTCCAAATAAGGAGCCTCTATCATACTCCAGGACAGAGAGGGAGAGAGTTCCACTGCTGAAAAGCTCTCTCTCACCATTAAGTTCTTCAGAGTGCATCCTTCCCTTATTATTATGCAGTGTATCCTTCTCTATATTATTATTATTATTAATAATAATAATAATATAGTGCAGAGTGCATCTCTCTTTTTGCGATATTATTATTGTTATTGTTATTATTATTTCCCCTCATTGGGATTGCCTCTGAGCATGTGCAGAGTGCATCCCTCTCTGATATGACAGGATATAAATAAAGATGATGATGATGATGATGATTATTATTATTTGCCATGTGCAGAGTGCATCCCTCTCTGATATGATGATGATGATGATTATTATTATGCCATTGCACCTCTCCATTATTATTGTTGTTGTTATTATTATTATTATCCACTCTTGGGTTGCCTCTGAACATGTGCAGAGTGCATCCTTCTCACAGTGACAAATGCAAGATATCCCATTCAGGCAAAAAAAAAAAAGAAATGTACAGAGACAGAATGGGGGATGATGGCTAGCTCGACAGTAGGACGTGGGGAAAAGACCTTGAAGTCCTCGTGAGGAGGAAGGGGAACATGAGCCAGGAATGTCATGCAACAGCTTGAAAAGCCAATGGGATTTTTGCCTGCATCAAGAGGAATCTAGTGATCCAGAGAAGTCATGCTACCCCTCTCTTCTGTCTTCATCAGACCACTTTGCCTGGAATCACACTGTGTCTAATTCTGGGCACCAAATTGAAGGGAGATGTTGACTCTAAGCTGGAATGTGTCCAGAGGAAGAGGGCGATTCAAAGGATCCAGGGTCTGAAGCCCTATGAGGAGCGGCTGAAAGAGCCGGGCGTGTTTAGCCTACAGAAGAGAAGGCAGAGAGGAGACATGATGAGGGCCGTGTATAAATATGTGAGGAGAAGTCATAGGGAGGAGGGAGCAAGCTTGTTTTCTGCTGCCCTGGAGACTAGGACACAATGGAACCATGGCTTCAAACTACAGGAAAGGAAGGAGATACCACCTGAACATGAGGAAGAACTTCCTAATTGTGAGAGCTGTTCAGTAGTGGAACTCTCTCTCTGCCCTTGATTGTGGTGGAGGCTCCTTCTTTGGAGGCTTTGAAGCAGAGGCTGGATGGCCATCTGTCGGGGGCTTTGAAGACTATATCCCTGCTTGTTGGCAAAATGGGGTTGGACTGGGTGGCCCACCAGGTCTCTTCCAATTCTAGGATTCTATCATTCTATGATGTTGTTGTTATTATTATTATGCAGATTTCACCCCTCCCTCTCTGATATTATTGTTAGTGTTGTTATTATTATGCAGATTTCATCCCTCTCCATTCTTCTTATTCTTACTCTTCTTGGTCATGTGCAGAGTGCATCCCTTCTCCGTCCTTCCCCCATTGAGATCTATATTTGACCGCCTGCCTGCCCTGCCAATCCCTTAAGACTAAGACCTTTGTTTTTCCCGCAGGGACAGGACTTATGACAGTGCCTCCTTCGCCCAAAGCCGGCTCAAGACGTCACTCTCCCCTTAAGCCCAAGGGGACAGCAAGGAAGGCTCGGGAGCCCAGAAAAGAAGGAAGGGAAGGGAAGGAGAGGAGGGTGTCGCTGGAGCATGCTTCCTCTGGTGGGACGGCAGGCTCCCCAATGATGCCCCGCAGAGCCGTCCCCCTTTGCGGAGAGCGCCATGTGGGAACGCCTCAAGCGGGCCCTGGGCGGCATCCGGAGGGGCCTGCGGGTCTTCTGGACCAAGAACGGCCTCCTGGTCCTCTCCTTGCTCTCTGTGGTCACCGGCTGCGGCGTGGGATTCCTGCTCCGCCGCCTGGAGCTCTCTGACCTCGTGAGTATGGGATCGTTGAGACAGATATGTGTGTGTGTGTGTGTGTATAGAGCTCGAAGCTGTGGCTGAATGGCTATCTCTCAGGAGGGATCGGGTGGTGTCCTCTGGCCATGCAAAAACAACAGGGCCATGTGGTCCTTCCAATTCTTTTTATGATACGTTGATTTTATATACACGTACACACATACATACATACATATACACATACATACACACACAAACATATATCTCAGTCATAGATATGGATGAATGGCCATCTGTTGGAAAAGGTCAGATGGTGTGTCTTCCTGCAAAAGAGTGAGGGGCTCTTATTTACACACACACACACACGTCATATCTATGGCTGAATGGCCATCTGTCAGGATGGCTCTTAGGGTCTCTTTCAGCTCTTAAGATCCTATGATATCTCTATTCTATGTCTGTATATATATCAATCCTATATCTCACTGAATGGCCATCTGTTGGGAAGGCTTGAATGGTGCCTTCCTGTTGGACTAGATTTATTTATTTATTTAGAAGTTTTATATACTGGTCTTCTCAACCTCCGGAGAGGGACTCAGGCCGGTTTACAGCATGTACTCAAATACAGTAATATAAACAGTACAATACATCATTATTAAAAACCGAAAAATACATTATTATTAAAAACTGAAAAACATCATCACATTACATAAGCCAAGTAGTCAAATAGAGTTACAATTCATCACCATCCTTCCGTGTGCACAAAGGTTATTGACTCAATCATCAAATGCCTTATTCCAAAGCCAGGTTTTTAGTAGTTTTCTAAACGACAGGAGGGAAGGGGCAGATCTAATCAGATCAAGCCTCCACAATAGAGGTTCCATGGTCGGATCACTGTGCTCTGAGAGTTCGGTTGGAGCATGCCTACCCACCCTGCAAGGGCGCTGAGCCAATTTGGGCTTGCCCAAGGAGACTTATGGAACCCAGTAGGTTCTGGAATGCTCTGAGGGATCTGGAACATTAGACTATCCAATGCACTCGACAAGATTGCCCCTAGATGCCCTCTCCGACCCCACCGAAATCGGTCTCCTTGGTTCACCGAGGAACTTCGACTGATGAAGCAGGAAAAGAGACGGCTAGAGGGCGTGTGGCGAGAACTCCGTGACGGAGCATCGAGATCAGCTTATGAGGCATTTAGGGAATCCTATGAGCTTGCTATCACCGAGGCAAAGCGAGTATATTATGCTTCTTTGATAGCATCTGCTAGCTCACGCCCGGCAAAATTGTTCAAAATAATTCGATCTCTAACGACGGTTCCTACCGTCCCAAAAAGTGGTGATCAGGCCCCTTCAGCCGAGGTTTTTCAGAGCTATTTTGCAGACAAGATCTCGCTACTTCACCAGGACCTCCCCGCCACAATTGATACAGTGAGAGAACTTGAGACCCCGTGGCCACTTGCTGGGCCCATCCTCGACCGGTTCATCCCGCTGGACGCAGGGGCTGTCGATAGGCTCATAGCTGCAGCTAGACCGACCACTTGCTCCCTCGATCCGTGTCCCTCTTGGTTGGTGAAATCCTGCTTGGAGGGATTACGCGACCCTCTGTTGAAGATTATAAACAGCTCCCTTGAGCAAGGAGTTTTTCCAGAGGGTTTAAAAGAGGCGGTGGTCTCTCCCCTGCTGAAGAAACCAGACTTAGATTGTTCGGTTCCCTCCAGTTACCGCCCAGTTTCGAATCTCTCGTTCCTGGGCAAGGTGATTGAGAGGGCAGCAGCGGAGCAGTTGCAGCAATTCCTAGACGACACAGCCGGACTAGATCCCTTCCAGTCCGGCTTCCGTGCGGGGCACGGGACAGAGACTGTGCTGGTCTCCATCACAGATCACCTTCGATGCCAGCTTGACCAGGGTGGGTCAGCGCTGCTTGTGTTATTGGATCTCACAGCAGCATTTGACACAGTCGACCACAATCTTTTGACCCACCGCCTTGCTGTTGCTGGAGTCAGGGGGACAGCTTTAAACTGGCTGTCCTCCTTTCTTCACAACCGTGGACAGTGAGTGGAGAGGGGAGGCCTGGTCTCTGAGAGGTCCCCTCTACCTTGTGGGGTTCCTCAGGGGGCCATTCTCTCCCCTCTGTTGTTTAACATCTATATGTGACCACTTGCTCAGCTGGTTCGAGGTTTTGGGCTTGAATGTTACCAGTACGCCGATGACACTCAGCTTGTGCTGAAGATGGAAGGCCGACCGAACTCTGTACCCGATTGTTTCCATCAGTGCCTCGAGGCCGTTACTGGATGGCTGCATGCCAGCAGGTTGAGGGTGAATCCAGCAAAGACGGAGATCCTATGGCTGGGTCGACCGGGCAGTGGGGATATCCAGCTGCCTACCCTGGATGGCGAGGCACTACACCCGTCATCATTGGTAAAGAGTCTGGGAGTCCTTTTGGACCCTCTGCTGACGATGGAGGCCCAGGTCTCCGCCGTTAGCAGAACCGCCTTTTTTCATCTGCGGCAGGCTAGACGGCTGGCCCCCTACCTGTCCAGGGACGACCTAGCTACGGTGATCCAGGCTACGGTCATCTCAAGACTGGACTACTGTAACGCCCTCTACATTGGCCTCCCTCTGTCGGTGATCCGGAAGCTCAAGTTGGTACAAAATGCAGCTGCTCGGCTTCTTGCGGGAATTCCGATGAGATGCCACATAACACCAATCTTACTGCAGCTGCATTGGTTACCAATTGAGCACCGGATCACTTTCAAAGTGATGGTACTCACCTTTAAGGCCTTGCATGGTCTGGGGCCGATGTACCTGAGGGACAGCCTCACCCCCTACCAACCCCAGAGATCCCTCCGTTCTGAGGACCAAGATCTATTGGAAATTCCCAGTGTCAAGACCTTGCGTCTAACAGCAACCAGACGCAGAGCCTTTACAGCAATGGCGCCATCACTCTGGAATACTCTGCCATCTGAAGTCCGTGCCTTGCGGGACTTATCAGCTTTCCGCAGGGCATGTAAGACATACCTGTTTCGACAGGCCTTTGATTTTTGATATTGCTGTTTTTAAATTGTTTTAAATTGTTTTTAAATTGTGTTAGATTTTAGCCATTCTTGTAAGCCGCTCCGAGCCCCAGGGGAGTGGCGGCATATAAGTTCGAATAATAAATAAATAATCTCTAGTGGAAGGGAGTTCCAAAGCCGAGGAGCCACCACCGAGAAGGCCCTGTCCCTCGTCCCCACCAGACGTGCCTGTGAGGCCGGTGGGATCGAGAGCAGGGCCCCTCCAGACGATCTTAGCAATCTTGATGGTTCATAGGGGAGGATACGTTCGGACAGGTAAATTGGGCCGGAGTCGTTTAGGGCTTTATAGGTTAAGACCAGCACTTTGAATTGTGCTCGGAAGCTAATTGGCAGCCAGTGGAGCTGGCGTAACAGAGGAGTAGTATGCTCCCTGTACCCCGCTCCTGTTAGTAATCTGGCTGCTGCTTGTTGGACTAGTTGAAGCTTCCGGGCAGTCTTCAGAGGCAACCCCACTAGAGAGCGTTGCAGTAGTCTAGACGGGATGTAACCAGAGTGTGGACCACCGTGGCCAAGTCAGACTTCCCAAGGTACGGGCGCAGCTGGCGCACAAGTTTTAATGTTCTAGATCCCGGCCACCACCGAGACCTGGGGTTCCAGGCTCAACGATGAGTCCAGGATCACTCCCAAGCTGCGAACCTGCGTCTTCAGGGGGAGTGTAACCCCGTCAAGCACAGGCTGTAACCCTATGCCCTGTTCGGCCTTTCGACTGACCAGGAGTACCTCTGTCTTGTCTGGATTTAGTTTCAATCTGTTGTCCCTCATCCAGTCCGTTACAGCGGCCAAGCACCGGTTCAGGACTTTAACAGCTTCCTTAGTAGCAGGTGGAAAGGAGTAACAGAGTTGGACATCATCTGCGTACAGATGACACCGCACCCCGAAACTCTGTATGATCTCTCCCAACGGCTTGAACAACATAGGGGACAGTACCGAGCCCTGAGGGACCCCACAGAACAATGGCCATGGAGTCTTTGAGCTTGTTCGGAGGTTCTAGCAGGGGAGCGCAGCTATCGTAAACCCGGGACCGAAAACCTCGGTACACTCCTTCTATACCTGGGACGTCGTCTTCTTCCGCCGAGCGCGCAGCGTTCCAACGTAAATTGGAATTTTTTTAAATGCTTGATGAGAGAAATTGACATGGGCTTTTATTTCCAGAATGCAGTGGAGGCAAAAGTAATAATTAACGGACAGGAAACAGAAACGTTACAAATAGAAAAAGGAACCAGACAGGGCTGTCCTTTGTCTCCGCTAATATTTATCTTAACATTAGAAGTCCTATTAAAAAGAATAAGAGAGGAAAAAGAACTAATCGGGGCTAGGATACAAGGACAGGATTATAAATACAAAGCTTTTGCTGATGACATAATCTGTATAATTGAAAATCCAAAAGATAAGCTAGGAAAATGGCTAGAGGAAATAAAAAGTTATGGTGAAGTGGCGGGATTCAAAATAAATTTAGAAAAAACAAAAGCAATAACAAAAAATATTGACAAGAAGGAACAAGAGAAACTAAGTAAAGATTGGAACATACAAATAGTATCAAAAATAAAATAGGGATTATTCTGAAAAGCAAAAAAATTGCATTCATTACAAAATAATTATATAAATAAATGGAAAGAGATTAAAAAAGAATTGGAAAGCTGGAAAAATTTAAACCTATCATTGTCACAGAATCACAACAGTCAAAATGAAAATCTTGCCAAAAATGATACTTATATTTCAGGACCTACCAATTATAAGAAACATGAAGTTATTAAAGGATTGGAACAGAGACATCACGAAATTTATTTGGAACAATAAAAAACCAAGAATACACTACAACAATCTGATAGAACAAAAAGAAAAAGGAGGATTTGCAGCCCCAGACTTAAAATTATATTTCGAATCATGGGCCGGGGATTGGACAATGTTAAAGAAAAAGAAACTATTAATATTAGAGGATATAGATCTAAGAGGAGGATGGCATCTA